CACAAAAATGATTATCACAAAAAAGTATTTTGCTTTTTATTATCATTTTTGAAAAAATCATTATATAACACACGCTTTGTCTTTTTATAGTTACCATTGCGGGTAACCACATACTAAAAGCGATTTGGCGACGATTCCAATAAACCACGGCATTTTTTCGCGAATATTTTCTCACATTTACGTTCAATACATTCTCCAGCAAATTTTTCATTTAATATATGGTAATTTCTCGTCCTAATCTCAAAATGAGAGTATTAGATATGGTCGTCGCGGCTTCAAAACATCCCAAATAACTTTAGAATAATAAAAAGGAGGTTTTACAAAATAAATCGCGAGGACAGGACCTTAAAAACTATTAAAACCAAAATCCGACAAACAAATTATTAAAAAAAATATCGCGAAACCCCATTTTTCTGACTTTGAAAACCTTATGGTTCATTAATATTGATCTAGGAACCAATATATGCGATTAAAATAGCAAAAAGGTGGTCAGATTCAAAGAAATTAACAGTTCTAAAACAACAGAAACTACAAACAGTACATGAAGTTGGGAGAAAACATCATTCTTCGTCAAATACTTTTGCGTTTTAAAAAACTGTGGTAGCTGGTGACGAATACGCAGTCAATATTTTACATCCGTTTAACACCATCAGTTACGAATAAAATGCATCAGTGAATAAACTGGTCGATCTATTTATTTTCGAAATTTGATGTATTTCTATTGCCACAAAACCGTTCATATCTTAGAATCTGACCTTCTTATTGCTATTTTCATCGCATATATTGGTTCCTAGATCAATATTAATGGACCATAAAGTTTTCAAAGTCTGAAAAATGGGGTTTCGCGATATTTTTTTAATGATTTGTTTGTCGGATTTTGGTTTTAATAGTTTTTGGGGTCCTGTCCTCGCGATATATTTTGCAAAACCTCCTTTTTATTATTCTAAAGTTCTTTGGGATATTTTGAAGCCGCGACGACCATATCTAATACTCTCATTTTGAGATTAGGACGAGAAATTACCATATATTAAATGAAAAATTGCTGGAGAATGTATTGAACGTAAATGTGAGAAAATATTCGCGAAAAAATGCCGTGGTTTATTGGAATCGTCGCCAAATCGCTTTTAGTATGTGGTTACCCGCAATGGTAACTATAAAAAGACAAAGCGTGTGTTATATAATGATTTTTTCAAAAATGATAATAAAAAGCAAAATACTTTTTTGTGATAATCATTTTTGGGTTGGTATAGATTTTGGCCGATATCTTCGTGACCAATAGGTCTTTCGCAGTGATTCTTGCAGAAATAAGATCTAAATATGTCCACCAGGGACGCACGAAATGAATTTTTTTCACAGTAAATTTATGTTTGCAACAGCGAATTTTTTCATTTTGTACTACCGGGCCCCCCCCGAAATGAAATCCTGTGTACGTTGCTGATGTCCACAAACATATCCCATCATACATAATTCATTTTACATCTTTAGTATGCTGGCTTTAGGCGTATATAATATAATTTTGTCAAATTTATATTTAGGCAAAATACTTATTACACTCACTGTATGTACTTATAGGCAATATATAGGTATTATAGTAGCCCCAAATTCTCAGCTGATTCCCATATGTGGCATGTAATCTAGGATGATAACCCACCACAGATTTCCGATTTTAGATTTATCTCATATATTGCTGATGCATACTTTTATTGAATTTATAGTCATTTTCGAATTGTCGAATTATTAAAATTCAAAAAAGTTTCAAAATTGAAATGTTTTTTTCACAAACTGACAAAATGTAAAAATGATAATGTCAATAATTTTTTAATTTTACACAATTTTTATTCCAATGTGTGATGATAATGGAGAAATGAAAAACAGCAGACGTTATTGGAATTACTGAACTGTTGGTTATTATCATTACTGATAATGTCATAATAGGGCCAAAAATTATGTGTCCAAAGTTCTTAGTTTGAAAATTTTCTATGTATAGATCGATGCAATGCAATGGGGAGTACATTACCGCCATTGTACCACGCCAAATCTTATTGGGATGATGCGTATTTGTAAGGAAGATAGTCAGAGAAATTTTTAAGTGGAAATCTGAAACCTTCTTAAGATATGATAATAGCTATATTATCTAATATGTGTGATTACTTTTGATGCTATAACTCCGCCTCCACGCTGAATTTTACAATTTTATCTAGCCTATGTTACTTCTATCGGATATGATGAGGTACTGTAAAAATTTCTGTAAAATCTATTTAGTTGGTTTTGACTCCTCAAATAAAACTTTTTTATTCTCTATATGATTATTTAAGTACAACGGGGAGTGCATTTATCTCCAATCGTACCGCGCTCATTTTTGAATGGATGATGTGTACTTACGCCTACGTTATTCAGACAGATTTTGAAGACGGTATCTGTAGTCGTTCTTAAGATATACCCATATTACTTGTTCAGAAACTTTGAGGTATGTTCATTATTGATGATATAACTCTTAATCCACGCGGAATTTTTAAAGTTTATCTAGCCTATGTTACTTTCAGGGCATATCATTACATACTGTGTAAATCTCATTAATATCTGTTCAGCGGTTTTTGCGTCTATCGGCAACATACAAACAAAGAAACAATTTTTTTCTATTTTATATATTCTATTTTATAGATATATATGTATAATGTTTGACCTGGAATATATTTAGACAACAAATCTACTATGTTGTGAAAACAATTTGTTTTTATTTTTACCGTTGTTACGTCCACAATATCAAAAAAAAAATAAAATGGTGGTCCACATTACCCGAAGTTACTCTATCGAGATTTTAGACATTTCGTACAGAAATGACTGTAAATCGGCAATGGTCATATTACATAATATTTTTATACCCTTCACCACACAGTTGTATAGGGTATTATGTCTTTATACATATGTTTGTAACATGCGAAAAGAATCGATATAGACACATGGTTCCTTTTGAGAATATGAATAGAATCACTTTCGAAGTCGATTTATGCATGTTCGTCTGTCCGTCCGTCTGTTGATGTTAAATTATAAACAAAGTACAGTACGCATTTATAATCCCAATCGGATGAAATTTGGCACAGCTCATTCATTTTGCCCTATTGAATTTGGAAAAAATCGGTTCAGATTTAGATATAGCTCCCATATATATTTTCGTCCGATTTAAGTTAATTGGTGCACCAAACTCCCTATATATCTTTCGATTTGCACGAATTTTGGTATAGCCTACTGACTTAGGTCTAGAATGACGTGTGCTAAATTTCGTGAAAATCGGTTCAGATTTCGATATAGCTCCCATATATAGTTTCTCCCGATTTTAGGTAAACGCTGCACCTAAGATTCATTCAATTTGCACGAATTTTGGCATAGCGTACTTAATTAAGGGAACCCCACCCATTCTCGATTTCAATTTTTCAAGATTTTCAATGGGCTGGTAAATCAATACCAATGCTTGTTAAGGTTTGTAACTTTACACATATATATTTGAAGATTTAAAAAAGAAGAAAAATAATTTACAAAAAAAATTTGTTATTGTTTTGTTGTTGTTTTTTGTAATTAAAAAAAAGTCCTTATTTTTGATGGCGGGCATGATAACTCCTCACTGGAACATCGGAATCCGAAAATTCCAACTGTGTTAGAAAGAGTACATGTTTGGCGCTCGTATGAACTTGGATTATTGACTTCGCTCTAAAATTAACAAAATGGTGGACCTTTGAAAAAATATTTTTGGAAAATCGCCGATTTTTTACCAAAAACCAAGTTAAAAAATAAGGAAGATCTTCACCGATTGGCTTTATCCCAGTTCATACGAGAGCTATACACTCCCAGAGAAACGTTGCAAAATTTGGAACCGATTGGATTATTAGTTTTTGAGTTATCGTGCCCGCCATTCGCAAAAAAATGTTTAGAAAAAAACGCGTTTAAAGTTTGAGAAGCCCTTCAGCCGTCACTTGATGCTGACACAATTAATTGGATATATCTTCAAGAGTTCTTGAGATTTTCACTTGAAATTTGTAGAGACATTCTTTAATCAGTGTAGATTCAAATTATATCAACAAAAATTTTGACCCCGAGAATAGGGGGGGGGGGGTCCCCTTAAGCCTAGAATAATGTGTGCAAAGTTTCGTGAAGATCGTTTCAGATTTATATATAGCTCCCATATATAGTTTCGCCCGATTTGAGGTAAATGGTGCACCAAAGTCCCTGAAAATCATTCGATTTGCACGAATTTTGGCATAGCGTACCGATTTAAGTCTAGAATGACGTGTGCTTAGTTTCGAAGAAGAACGATTCAGATTCAGATATAGCTCCCATATATAGTTTCGGCCGATTTTATTAAGTGGTGCATTAAATTCCCTACATATCTTTCGATTTGCACGAAATTTGGCATAGCATACTGCAGTGTGGCTGTAATAATGTGTGCGAGAATTGGTTCAGATTTAGATATAGCTCCCATATATAGTTTCGTTCGATTTTAAGTTAATGGTCCACTAAAGATCCGTAGCTAGGCCTATTGACAAAACGTACTGAAGTTAATATAAATTAATCTCTGAAAAGTTTCCTTGAAATCGGTTCAGATATAGATATAACAAAGCTTCCATACATAATTTCGACCTATTCATGTTAATTGTACACAAGTAATCAATTGAGATTAAATTTTAAACCGTGCAGCATACCACTTGCTTTAAATCGATTTAAAAAATTAGCATAGGTTGCAGAATGACATGTGTGGGCATTGATGTTATTCGGTTTGCATATACATAAAGATTACATATTTATGTTCCTTCAATTTCACGTCAATTTTCCTTCGAAAATACGAAATCTGTTAGGATACATATGAGGAATGTACCCAAAGTGGTGAAAGGTATCATATAGTCGGCCCAATCCGACTTTTCTACTTTCCTTACTGGTTAGTCAGTCACCTTTGCGATAAAATTATTTTTTTGTATGCACTATACTAGAATATTTTTCTCTCATTTCAGAAATTCGACCAGTACAAAATAAGTTGTATACACCAACATCCGATGGTTGTGGTTCACTGGGTCTTAGAATTAGCACAGAATATTTACCCGCCGCTGAAATGGAAACATGCTGCAATGCACACGACATATGTTACGACACCTGCAACAGCGACAAAGAATTGTGTGATCTAGATTTTAAACGTTGTCTCTATCGACATTGTGATACCTATGACAAATCACTTGCCGCAGATTTGATGATCAAAGGTTGTAAGGCCGCAGCAAAAATGTTATTCACTGGGACGATAACACTCGGTTGCAAATCCTATCTGGACTCCCAGAAACGTACCTGCTACTGTCCACCGCCGAAGGTACAGAAAGACGAAAAGTATTTCAAAGGAAAGAATAAAAAATATGGTTGGAAGAACTCAAACGAGTTTTAGTAACAATGACAAAACCCAAAGACAACTTTATTTAGTATAGTATTTTAGTTCGCATATATATTCAGTTATGTGTTTTATGTTAAATGTATTATTTATTATTAACTGTGAATTATTTTATTTAGAACTAAGTATGTTACATGCATTGATATCTGTATATTGGTACACAACTACATTAAATACGAATTTTTATAGCACATTTGAAATTGTTGTACTTGGAGATATTTATTATTAAAACTATCGGACCCAGCAAACGTTGTCTTGCGTAGCAATATTGTTGATGTATAACTTTCGGCATTTTAGATTTATTTTTATACTTAATTAATTAAATGCATATATACGTTTGACTTTTGGATTTAATTAAAATTTTCTCAATATATTTATGAGACTTCCACATAACGGTAGTCAAATATTGAGTTAGCTTTTTATACCCTCCACGATTTAAGATAGAGCTTTGAAATTTACACAGAATTGCTTCCAATTTAGGGGAACTATTGAACAGAAAATCTCCCTACTTAAAATTATCAATATTGACCCATGTATTCGGGTATCCCCCATATACCGGTATCCCTTACTATTCGGTATTTGGGTGTAATTTTATATTCGCCCAAGCTTCCCTCATATAATGGTACTCCAAATTTTTCGAAGCTGTGGGGGGTTGGGTACGTTTTTAACTTAAATCAGCTGTAATTTGGTATTAGGTTGTTTTATTTGGTGGAGTAAATACTACTAAAAATTATCAATATCGGTCCACTTTTTGGGGTAGCTCCCATATAACGGTACAACAAATATTCGGTATTTTGGGAGTGTTTTCCAGTGTTTCAACCAATGTGGCTGTACTTTTAAATTTGGGATGATCAAAACCTGAATGATCTTACCAGAAATTATCAATATTGGTCCAAGTTTCCGAGTAGCCCCCATATAATGGTATCCCCCATTTGACCGAATTTTCTCATAGAGCATACCATAATTTGCCATAAAGGATTCCTGTGAATAAACATCTTCTTTCCATAAATTATGCAACAAATATATAGTTGTCCTCTTTCCAGATGAGCTTAATGATAGAATTTTGAAAATAACCATGTATAGTATTTTTCTTTGTGATGCACATTTTTGGTATCGGATATATCGAGGTGTTGTGTTAATAAATTCAAAGTCATCGACCAACGACTAGGCGTATAACCACCATATTATGGTACCACCTGATTTGATATTTCCCGTGGCATATCAACATTTTAGTTACATTAAATAACAACATGTTCCTTTGGAACTATTATTATTTTCAAGTAAAATAATCTTAGAATCAAAACTCGATTCAAAATGTCTTCTTATTTTTACATCCTTGCATTTATCCCACAATTTACGTCTACTTAGAATGATCGGATGCCCATTCAAGGATATACCTCCCATTTCTTTGTATTCTCACATCAAATAGTTTCAAAACAATGTCAATTAAATTGAAAAAATAAAAAATTTTGAAAATTTTCAATAATTGACAAATGAAGGCTTAAATGAATGATACGCTACAAATTTTCGCCCAAAATATTTCAAAATAACAACTACGACGTGGTGCAATCAAAATAGCATGATATAAAATTCGTGGAAATGCAAATATGCTTCATAATATTTTTTGCAAATTGTTCGCGATTGCTGGCGGTCATTTTCTCTTTCTCGCTGACGTTGATTTTCCCGACGATGTTGCATCATTAGTCTATTTGCATTTCTTTGATTTTCAGTACTCACCCGAAAATTTGACTGATGTTCTCCCTCATTAGTTTCTTGTCTACTTCGCGAAATAGCTCTGCTCATAGCCTGTTGGCTCTGTCGACCAATGTTTGGCCGTCCCCGATTTGGCATTTTTATTATTATTGATTGACAACAAAAAAAATTAATTTTAATTAAATATTTTCGTTTCTTGCCTGCTTGTTTTATTAAAAAAAGGATTTTTCAATCAAATATTTTGCAAATTGTTTTACTGCTAAACCTTCTGGTTAACAATGCGAATACAACACAAAAGGAATTATTAAAATCCGATGAACCGTTCTCTAGTTTTTAGCAGACAACGCACATCATTTCATTTATATATATAAGAGATTATATTAAACTAGTTTAGCTCGCAAACATTGTATTGCCTAAGAAATATTTTTGATGTATGATTTCGGAAAAAAATAGATTTGTTTTTATACCCACATACATTTTCGCATACATTGCTAATACTCCTAGAATATTTGGTATTGAAAATGGCAGGTTTTTCAACAAAATTGCTTCTAACATAGTACGTATTGAGCAAAAAATGTCCCTACATAAAATTATCAATATTGGCCCAAGTATCCGGGTAGCCCCCATAAGATCATTGTAAGATCATTAAGTAGAAAATGTTCCTAACTATATTCGCCCAAGCTTCCGAATATCCCCCATATAACGGTACTTCTCATTATTCCATGCTTTGGGGGTTAGACCATTAATACTAAACTCTAGCCAGTTTCGCTGGCAATTTTTCCAAAAACGTCCACCATAGGGTATTGACATGAATAAGGACCGGACGATAATTGGATCTATAAAGACGATTTTTTAAACAAATGTTGTGAACCACATCTCACTCGACAAATAAATTTCAGCAACTTTTAATGTTTTTTTTTTTTTTTTTGTATAATCTCGAAACCCACAAACGTAGACCGATATTGATAAGGGCAAAGTTATTTGAGGATATACCTATAAGAAACAAATTACACAGAAACACTCATTACACCCCATAGAGCATGTAGACTAAGTTTGGTCAAAATCGTAGTAGTTTTTGAGTTTAGCGACCACGAACATACGCGTAATTTTTATATTAGTATAGGGATACTAATGAAAGCTATTTTCTTTCGATTCTAAAAATAGCATGGTAGTATATTAAAATACATTTAATGCTATATTTACTTCGAACAGCAAATAATGATGACTTCACATAAAACCCGTTTGATGTAAATGTTGCATAAACAAATGCATTTTAAAATTTGAAATACGAATTCTATTTGTAATGTGAACATTTTATGTTTAAGGGAACCCCCCCCCCCCCCCCCCCATTCTCGATTTTTTACTTTTTAGGATTTTAATGGGCTGGTAAATGAATACCAATGCTTGTTAAGGTTTGTAACTTGGCACATATGTATTTGAAGATTTAAAAAGGAAGAAAAATAATTTACCAAAATTTGTTGTTGTTATTTTGTTGTTGTTTTTTGGGTTCAAAGAAAAGTCCATATTTTCGATGGCGGGCATGATAACTCCTCACTGGAACATCGGAATCCGAAAATTCCAACTGTTTTAGAAAGAGGACATGTCTGGCTCTCGTATGAACTAGGATTATTGACTTCGCACAACAATTAACAAAATGGCGGAACTTTAAAAAAAATTTTATGGAAAATCGCCTATTTTTTACCACAAACTAAGTTAAAAAATAAGGAAGATCTTCATCGATTAGCTTTATCCTAGTTCATACGAGAGCTACACACTCCCAGAGAAACGTGTCAAAATTTGAAACCGATTGGATTATTAGTTTTTGAGTTATCGTGCCCGCCATTCGTTTTGAGAAAAACGCGTTTAAAGTTTGAGAAGCCCTTTAGCCGTCCCTTGATGCTAACACAATAAATCGGCTATATCTTTCAGAGTTCTTGAGATTTTCACTTGAAATTTTGTAGAGACATTCTAGAATTAGAGTAGATTCGAATTAAATCAAAAAAATTTTTGACACCGAGAATGGGGGGGTCCCCTTAAGGCGTACAGTAAGATACGTATGACGACCAAAACATGACATCTTAAAATTAAAGAAGTAACCAACAAATCGCGGTGTTCGGGAACCCCATTTTACATTGCACACAATTCCGAGAGTTCATATTAGCAGTGGTCAAAAAATAGAAGGAGTTATTGTAGGTGGATGAAATTTTGTACAAGTGCTTATTACTGGCTTAGAGAGCAAATTGGATAGGTCGGACCAAAATTAAGTATAACTTCCATACAACGGGCCTTAAAATTAACTTTCTATACTATAAAATCGTTATATGCAATTAACTTCACTATAGTTGTTTATTTTTATTAAATACTAGCGGGCCCGGCAAACGTTGTCTTGCATAGCATTATTGTTGATGTATAATTCACAAATATAATTCAAGATAGCCCAATATTAAGCTACTACATTGCTACTACTCCTACGATATTTGGTATTGAAAATGTTCAATATTAGTTCACTATTTAGGGTATCCCCATATAACGGTAACCTCCATATGAGAAATTGTAACGATTTTATCAACAGAATTGGTTGTAATTTAGCAGAAAGTGTCCGTACCAAATATTATCAATATTGGTATGTGTTTCGGAGTACCGCCTATATAATGGTAGCCCTAAACATTCAGTATTTTGAAGATCTTGGGCACGGTTTTCGACAGCATTGCTTTTAATTTAATATAAGGGATAGTTCTTGAGCAGAAAATCTCTCTACTTAAAATTATCAATATTATATCAGTATTTGGCTGTAATTTTATATTTTGGATGATCATCGAGTAGAAAATGTTCCTAACAAAGCTTCCGAAATGCCTCCATATAATGGCACTCCACATACGATCCTTTGGGGATTTGGACACGTGTTTCAACCTAATCATCTATAATTGGTTGTTTTATTTGGTAGCATGAATCCTACTAAAATTGTCAATATCAGTTCACTCTTCTGTATTTTGGGGGGTTTAGCCACGTCTTAGAACAAAATTGGCTGTAATTTTATATTTTAGATGATCAGTGAGTACAAAATCTACTTACTTAAATTATCAATATTGATTCAAGTTTCCGGGTAGCACCCATATAAGGGTATACCCTCATTTTATCATGTGGCGTCAAATCTTCATACCAAGAATTAATTAATCCCCATTCCCATTGTATGTCTAAATATAATAAAATATGTCATTTCGGGATATTGGGGGTGAAAAATTATCTATTTAGGACCAAGTTTTGATACAGCATATAAATACAGG